GAAGTTCTGCTCATCAGGCTCACAATTTAACGTTTGATGACAACACACTGTCTGCTTTAGACCACACCTACACTCCTAAATCAATTTGGACATATTATTATTAAAAAAAAGTACACGACTTCTAGTAAATATAAGTACGGATTTATGTGGAGATCAAACTCCACATTTACACACCATACTGTCCCTGACCCCTCCCCCCTCCCCCCTCCTTCCCTCTCTCTCTCCCCCAGTCATTTACATTTATATTGAATTAGAAGCCGTGGTGGAGAGCGAGTGGAGGCAGCCGAGACTGATTATAATGGGAGATTACGGGCCGACTGCACCACCATTATGTCGTGTAATTACAAAGAGAGAGGGAGAGAGCGAGGGAGGAGGACGGGGCCCTCGGATGCCCAGATGTCAGGATCTATTTCATTTAGGGAAATAATGTCTCTCTGCTGCTTACCCCTCCATCTATTCCACCTGTAAATATTATAGAGAGCTGAGTTCTGCCCTCTTTTACACCCATTTTTATGGGTCACAATTTATTGGAGACAAATATTAAACAAGGCATTAAGGAGGATGTGTGGGTCCCCATCAGGCGATTTACCGCTGCGTCTCCATCCACTTTATGGCTTCATTTGACTGCATCGATCTGGTGTCGTAATGCATGTAGGATTACTGGGCATGCACCCGGGAAAAGAACTAATGGGTTCAACATAATGTAAAGCCTGTTGGAAAAGATCATCTGTTGTGTTTTTTTCCTTATACAGTACAGTAGTTGATAGATTTCAGAGGAAGTGACGAGTAATTTTATATTACAGGGATAGTAATAGCCAGAGATGTATATAAATCAGTTCATATAATCACTTTTTTTTTTTGCATTTTAACAAATTCTTCATGTCATAAAACTCAATCAAACAGATTCATGAATAATCTCTCCCCAACAGCTCTCTCTTCATATCAAGGTGAACTAAAGTCAATGAGAATATTCAGTCCTTGACAGAAAGAGGCTTTGGTGGGAGGATTTTAGGTCTCTTTGACTTGCAGTATGGGCGCAGGAACTCCACAGGTGAGATCATTTAGTGCTTTATAGACAAACAGCAGGATTTTAAATTAAAGCAAGTGGTTCCCAACCTAGGGGTCGGGAGCCCCACTAGGGGTCGACAAAGCTTCGGGGGGGCTTCTTGATTTTAAGACGTGCTAGAGAGCATAAAAAAATATACACAGTAGGCCTATCTCTTTGATAGGCCTACTGTTGTTCACTTCTATGAAGAAAAGTAAAACACAAAGTAAAGTAAGAAAGTCTAATAGGACAATGCCCAGGCACCAGAGACAAGAATTTGAATTTGTTAACAACAAAAAAAGCCTATTGAGCCTTTATGATTGTTAAAAAAAAATAATGAAAATATATAATACAGACAGAGAATTGTATAAAAAGTTCCCTAAACAGGAAATAATCTGCTCAGAATTGATCCAAATCACAAACTTCCTGCAGTTACTGAGTTCACTGATTGGGTTCATTGTACAGTTTTTGACTATAATATGAAACATCCATAATACATGTTACAGCAGACTCTACTAAATGATAGAACAGGGGTCCCTTGAGGAAAAAGTCTGAACCACTGAGCTAGAGGAGGCAGGTGAAAAGAGGAGCAATGTGTTCTTTCATCTTTTTTGACCTTGTTAAAAGCCTTGCTTCAGCATTTTGTTGGAGACCGGATAAAGGAATCTGAGTGATGCAACGAGCGGAGGTAATCAAGGCAGAAGGATACGAGAGCGTTTGTCCAGGTCAAAGTCGCGGAAAATTGTGAAATTGCACACAAAGCGCAATGTCAGTTCAATGCTGAGGTTTTTTTTGCATGTGAATTCACAAAGACAGGAATAAAAGATGCCCTCTGCTCCCTAAGTGACACTGAATAATCCTTCCTTACATTACTGACCCAATATCCTGTTTCAACAGGAAATACATACTTAAAGCTACAGCTAGGACGAGCTGCTGCCATTGATTCAGTCTCGTCAGTGACTATCCCTCATCATTCAGTGGCAGTTTATGTTCTCAAGTGAAGGAGATCAGTGCAGCAGCTGTGTCTCAATTGAGTTTTGTTTTGCGCTGAAATAACAAGCTGAGATTTACATTCATTTACCTTAAAGTCTGAGGTATAATTGGTTTCCGTGGTGAGTTTTCTATACCTTACAGGTCCCAGATCACTGTTTGGAAGTTTGCCTGTCTTACCACCCACATTTTTCTCACAACTCGTTATCCCGTCTGTGTGCGAGACTCAATGCTCATTATAGAAAATGAAGGGGAGGCTGTCGGCACCACGTATGGTCCGACTGTGACACAAAGAAGCAAGAGGCTCTCCAGTTTTAATTGAGATTTTAAAAGTGAATAACTGCAACCAGGTCTGCACCATTTGTGATTTTGGTGCCATCCTCTGGGATAAGCAGCCATTGCTCTCACTGTTCAAATGCATTGTAGACTCATGAATGATGAATTACAGTGAAACCAGTCTAGTTGTGAAAGAGACACGTCTTCAATGCTCTTCCTTAGAGCGGCAGCTAACCATTATTTTCATTATTGATTAATCTGTCGATCATTTTCTCGATTAAAGCCCAAAGTAACTTCCTCAAATGTCTTGTTTTGTCCACAACCGAAATGGAAGACTAAAGAAACCAAGAAATGTTCACATTTGAAGAGGTTTAATTAAACAATTTGGACATTTCTGTCCTAAAAAAATTACTCAAAACAATGAATCAACTGACATAGTCGGCAATTAATTTAATATTGGCAACTAATCGACCGATCGTTGCAGCTCTATACTCTTCATCTTTCAAGTGCATCTTTTCAGGGGTGGATGTAGAGGAATTGCATGTGGTAACAGTTGCCACCCCAGTTTGCTGTCAAATTTAAAAATAATGTGTTAAAAATAACAGAAATTAACACATATAAAATATAATAATAATGATCTATTATGGCCACATTGATTGACTGACATTCAATAAAAAAAATATGTATTTTGAAAAATGTCTAATGCCACTGTTAGATAGTTATATTCAGTGCTTTATTAATGTGCCACAATAATGTGTTTACCTGTTTCCTGTTTTATTTTGTAATTGTGTGACGCCCACTTCCAATTTTTAGATCCCTTTTGGAATACTGCCTCATCCTCCTGTAAGTTTATGTTCTATCTCCGTTTTGTTCATTAAATGATCTGTTCTGCATCAGCTCGGCCTCCATTTCCATCTTTTATTTGGGCCCAGATCCTTGTGTTTAGTACTCTGCTTGCTGTGTCAGTTTTTTAATTCAGATATCTTCATTTGGGTTTTTCATAACCAGTGTTTATATATCAAGGAGTCAAGGAAATGCATTTATCCATATAAAACATGGGTTGTAAATAAGGTTGTATAATGAAATACAAGTTCACAGTTCCTTCATGCTACACATTCATAAAGTTTTACATTTATGAAATAATAAAAAAACAATACATCAAGTTATTTTTATACATACACGTATACAGCTAGGAAATGTGCTAATTTCTGATCAGTATTCACAAGAAATAATCCGCCTGTTTTACACAAACTGCAGTTATTGTGTTCATTGGGTTCTTTGTGCAGTTTGTCAGTAGTTCTGTTGTGATTGTTCTAATATAATATGAAATATCCATAGAAAAGGTTTAGAACTTCAGCCCAATACTTCTATGAGCATTCAAGAAATGAGAATGTACTTCCTGTGTGCAGTGACGGAGGACTCCACTCAGTACTGTATTCCTTGCATTCATGTTTTAATCTGTCCTTCAAACACACACCGCTTCAGTTCTTAGATACAGTGGATCCACACCACTGTGGCCACAAGATGGCAGCACTGACCGTAGATGGTCCTTCAGATGTCTGAGATGTGCAGGTACATTTAATGTGATTGGTCTGTCAGCGTCGAGAAAAAATAAATGAAAAGTGGGGCAGTATCTGTAAGTAATAGATGGTTTTAATTCTGTTCTTTGGCATTTTGGCATTGATTGGCACAGAGTGGGAATAGCAGCTGACTGATTCTGAGGGCCCGATTACATTAATCACAAAATATGATTGATTTAATTTACAAGTTGTCACCAGCATAACTTACTTTTCATAGTACTTATGATATATTTTTTTATAATACACTGAGATCTGAGAAGAAACATCTCTGAGTAGAAGCGTAGTCGTGTTTTCTGGCAAGTTCACCTACTTCCAAGACCCTTTAGTAGTGGTGGTAGTAGTGGTACATTTCTGTGATATTTTGTTAAACTCCCTGTGGAGAACTTGGGGGTCAGGATAAGATACAGAACAGCCGAATTTTATGTGTTTGAAAAGCTTTTAATGATTTAGGTTTCCTCTGTTTCAGGTGTAATAAAATGCCGATTGTAACAGTCAGGATTAATGAGGACAGTAACAGCATTAAGCCATGTAGCTTTGATATTTAAGGTTGAACTGTAAGATTTCTGTGAAATGCTGATAATCCAGGATATATTCATATTTTCCTCAATGTGACTGGTTAGTCGACAGATACATACATACACGTATATACATACATTTATACAATACAATTTACATTGACTTGAAATTGTTCCTCTGTATTCGACCCATCCTGGGGAGCAACTTGGGGTTCAGTGTCTTGCTCAAGGACACCCCAACACATAAGAGAGCTGGAGACCTCCAATCCTGCAGTTAGTGGGCAGCTCGCTCTATCTACTGAGCCACGGCCAGCCCATTTATGTATTCTCGATAGACTCTGGATCATGGATGCTACTTTGGCACCCCCTTTTGGACAGGTTGTACTGTAGAGATTCACATTAGTACACTGTTTGTGCAGGAAGCTTTTATTTATTTGTGAACAAAAATAAATAATATACTTGTCATTCAACCCTTTTCTTTTCTTTTTTATGAATCCATTACTTATTACAGGTCTATGAAAATGACAAACTGGCTGTGAAACTTCCCAGAGGTGTAGCACTACTAATCGACAAATCAGCAACAAGATCTCTGCATTTCAAACCATTTCTTCAATCAATCTGTCAAACTTTATTTATATAGTTTATAACAGTTTTCGTACAGTTTGGTGCTTCACAGATGATTGACAAGACTGCAATAAGGCAGAATGTAAATCTACCCAGTTCTACCTCTAATCTATATAGTTTTAATTCCAATACAAAGATAAAAATGACAATAAAACCAATTATACAGGTATAACAATAGTGTTTAATAAAAGCTATGTTAAAGACTCAGATAAAGAAGGCATGCAAAAATAACATAGTTTAGTTACAGAAGTGAGGACTATGGATCTGGTGTTATATAGGTAAGCGCTCCAGCAGCTACAATTGTAAAGTGCTGCTTATTCATTCATTACATATGCATCAGTATGAACAATCTAATGTCACATAGTCACCGCAGCCATTTTCTACAGAAGAAGTTCTTATTACTTTGTTTTCTTTTGTGCATCAGTTTTCACATTCATTTTAGTTTTTGTTAACCTGCTGTGATGTTCACTGCAGAAAGACATTCACTGAGCCTTTGGCAGCTGAAAACAACATCAGCAAAGAGAGATTTAAATATTTGTAATATCACATTATGTCAGAGTGTTCACACCCTGTAACAATGATGCTGCATTCAGGTCATATGGGAAAGATGGATTAGAAGAGTTTACGCTTTATAAATGTTATTCACATCAGTTCTCAGATTGTAATTGGAAGTGTGAGTTTCAAAGCTATAGGTTCAAATTTCTCTGACTTCTTATTCTTATGAAATAACATGGAGCACTTGTAATCAGATGTAAGGAATCATATATTTACGTCATGGACCTAATATTGGCTGCCAATTTTCACAGGCACAGGAAGGTAAAGACTAACCCAAAGGAACAAACATTTACAGAACAACTAATGAGAAGATGTCAAAGTACCGTCAATAATGGTCAATCAGGTCTCAGCAACAAAAACGGGGGAAAAAAAGTTTAAAATTAAATGACGGAATTTAACCCAATGCCCATTAAATAACCATTGACTATTTTAGTTTAATTAACTCAGCCGTTTCTCCATACCAGTAGCAAAGACCAAGTCCAGCATAGAGAGGCTGAGTGAATGTGGTCTGAACTTTGTGGAGGAGAGTCATGGTTTCAGAGATGCTGTAGAAGGACAAAATACCTGCACTGTGATCCAGATACACTCCAACTCTGGAGGACAGAGGACCTGAGACTGGAGTTTGGACAAAGTTGTGCTCAAAAGTATAACTCTGTTTGTAACAATGTAATGTCCAAGATTCTAGATTGTGGCCAAAGCTCTGATCTCTGCGGATATTCTTGTATGCAACTGCAATATTAATTTCTTCTGCCCTCCACTCCACCTCCCAGTAACAACGTCCAGTCAGACTCTCTCTACTCAGGACCTGCCTACTTGAAGTGAACCTGTCTGGGTGATTACAGTAAGACTGTGGTTCATTCGTGATTTTTCTGTTCCCCTCAGATAATAACAGCTTTGTGTGAGCTGTGTTTGGATCCAGTGTAATTTCAAGTGAATATTGTAAGAATCCAGCTCTGGTCTTGGGCTCTGGTTGTGGCAGTAAAACATCCACTTCAGTCACTGTCAGTGAGACGTTTGTCCATTTCTCTCTCAGAACGTCCTGTAGTTTATCTCTGAGCTCTGAAACAGCCGCTGTCACATCCTCAAAGTACCTCAGAGGACGGATATTGATGCTGGATGTAGATTCACTGAGTGCTGACAGTGAGGGGTAGTTGTGTAGAAACTGGGTGTGGTCCTCTGTGTGTGACAGCTTCTTCATCTCAGCGTCTTTCCTCTTCAGCTCAGTGATCTCCTGCTCCAGCTTCTCCTGAAGCTCTTTGACTCGACTCACTTCAGTTTCCTGCTGGGATCTGACCTGCTGCTTCACATCAGAGCTTCTTTTTTGGATAAGACGGATCAGCTGAGTGAAGATCTTCTCACTGTCCTCCACTGCTTCATCAGCAGAGCGATTGATAGCCTCCACCTCCTGTTGAAGCTCCTTCACATCTTTCTCTCTGTCCTGGATTCTCTGCTGGATGTTTTGTCGACTCACCTCGAGCTCTCTCTGCCTCTCAGTCCTTTCTGCTGCAGCTGAGACTGTGTCGTGGCCTTTATGTTCCTCCATAGAGCAGAGATAACAGATACACTGGTGATCAGTACGGCAGAACATCTTCATCACCTCATTATGGCGAGAGCAGATGTTCTCCTGGAGCTCCTTGCAGGGGTCCACCAGCTTGTGTTTGACAAAGGCAGGTGATTCAAAGTGAGGCTGGAGGTGTTTCTCACAGTAAGAAACCAAACAGACCAGACAGGACTTGAAGGCTATCAGTTTTCTCCGAGTGCAGACATCACAAGACACATCTTCAGGTCCAGCATAGCAGAGATCAGCAGGAGCAGCTTGGAGTCCAGTCTTCTTCAGTTCCTCCAGTAAAGCTGCAAACATGGTGCTTTTCACCAGGACAGGTCTTGGTATGAAGATCTGCCTACACTGAGGGCAGCTGTGGATTCTCGATTCATCCTCTTTATCCCAGTGGGTTTTAATACAGTTCATGCAGTAGCTGTGTCCACAGGGAATAGTCACCGGGTCCTTCAGTAGATCCAGACAGATTGAACAAGATATTGTTTCTCGGTCCAGCTGAACTCCTTTCTGCGCCATTTCACCTCTCTGTCACAATGACTGTCTGAGTCTTACTTCCACAGAAGTGAAACTAGTTTGAGCTCTGATCTAAACAGCATGTGTTTCTGCAGCGAATGGGGCCTGTCGGCTCTTTCACATCACCACATGTTGGTTATACCCATCGTTCAAACTATAGATCTAAAGGGGAGGGAACAAGGAAATATATGGACAGAGAGAAGCTCGCTGTGTTTGAGAGCAGGAAGAAGAGGGAGGAGTTATCATGTTGTGATTCATTCCAGGAAGAGGAGCAGTTTGAGAGCGATACTGCTTAACACTTGTTTGTAATAGAACTCATTATAAAATACTGTTCACTTCAGCTTTTAGGAAGTAAAGCTGCTCTTATGATCAGAGGGTTTGGAAATGTTTCCCCAATTTCCAGCATTACTGAGTTGTCCTGTAACTAACTTTAAAACGTTTTTTGATTGAGTACCATGATTCAAATACAACACATGAAGGATAGAGAAATGACTCACTGCTGTAAAGGTCATGTAGTAATTCAATATTATTATTTGATAAAGTTCTTTTTAAGCATTTTTCAAGAAAAAAATTTAAATTAAGAATGTATATTTCAATCACAAGGGGTTTAATGTTAAATGAATTAAAATAATAAATCCAGTAAGTTATTTGTTCAACTCTGAATCCCAGCAGAGAGGAATGCTCCATATCATTTGGCTCTTGGTTAAATTGGCGTCTGGAATGACTGGATGAATCAGGACAATTTAAAAGTGGTGTTTTCATCAAGTTTCAGTTTATTTCTATAAATAGATTACTTCTTCACGACTCACAACGGTTTCACACCTTTATCCATGATTTACTGGACCTGGCATTTTTATTATAAATGTTATCATATAGGCCCAAAAACATCACTAAAACTGCAAACAGTGAACTGAGGTGCTTTAACCTCCACTATATCCCTGGTTAGTAGGATGAAGGCGCCCTCTGGTGTCTGGCATCAGTTTTCCCATTTCAATTATCCTGCTGCTGACTTCACTGAGCATTTGGCAGCTTCAAACAACATATCACACAATGTCTGTTCACAGGAGTCACACCCTGTAACACTGATGCTGCATTCAGGTCCCATTGGAAAGATGGTAGAGAAGAGTTTCCAGTGTACAAATACTATTCACTTTCAGGTTGTAAATAGAATTTGGGAATATGAGACTTAAGGCTAGAGGTTATAATTTCTTGGGTTTCCTGAATTCTGATCAGACATCATAGAAATCCTTGGAACGAAATGCAAATAATTTTATGATCATTTCATGATTTTATGACTGGACCTGATATATGCTGCACATTTTCTATTTGTTGTTGATGTCTTGTTGTAAAAGCTGAGTCACTCACTGGTTGAGTGACACCTGAGAAGACTTTTCAATGTGAATCTCAACCAACCATGAACGATTGTGTTTCGGTTACTTAAAATGAGACTGAACATGTTGTTGCGTTCAGACAAGACAGTCAAGTCCTTCTGATGTTGATAGTTTACAACCCAGGATCATCTGGCTGTGAGGTAGAAGCAACCTCATTCTCAAGTTTCATTCTCATCAGAATGTACATAAGAATAAATAAAATCACCTCAAGTCCACAACTACACAATATCTGTTGTCTTATGTGTGTCAAGATTAAGAAATACTTCATCACACCCAAAGTTGACAAAATTAATTCTTACTTCAAGTGATAGAAAACTTTGCTCATTTCTCAGTGACAAAGCTGTTTAAATGAGGAAAGTTAAAAGGATGGAGACTGCTCTAAACACAAACACTGTAAGGGGTGTTACAAGACAAAAACTGCCTCAGTTATACTCTCATATTAGTTTCACATTTTCTCCATCAGTTTTGTATGAGACCCTGGAATGTAGACAAGAAGAAAATACTTTGTTCGTTTTGCAAACCTCCGGTTTGTTCACACATCCATCAGTAAGATCTGTTAAACTCTTAATCAGTGATTTTGTGTCCAGATTAATTTTGGCCACACAATTAGTTTGACCAGGAAATCATCTCTTTTATTGATTATGATCATGATTGTTATAATACCTCATAGTTCCTCATGTACATTTAGTTTGCTGAACAAATAAATGTTAATGTAATTATGAATTTATTTACACATTTACAAAGTGGGGGGAACAAAATATCTACAATAAAGGAAGGTCTGGTGCTTCCTTCCGAAACTAAATATCAAAAACGTCTCATTAACATTTCAATATTTTATTCAATCATCACACTGAAAAAAGAATCACATAGAGCAAATTAAAAAACTGTTAATAGTGGCATATTGAAAATGTGTTTGATTTACACGTCACTGCTGTGTTATGATATTATTGATAATAGACTCTTTGTCAAATACCTGATCAGGAAAATACTGGACACCAAATTCAAATCAATTCCTGTGACACACAGATTAATTGAATCACTGTATGCTAATCACTATTCATACTTAAGTACTTAACATAAAACTTAAAATGTTTATGACATGGATTTATTTCATCAATCAAGTAAAATGTCTTTAAAACAAATCACTATGTAATTTTGTGTTAGTGTGGGCAAGGGAAATACTTGGAACTATTTAGGCTGTAACAACATACTGTAACCTTTGATTGAGCCATTTTCTAATTCATGCATGGCTGTTAAAGTAAACAGAAAATACATAACACCTGAATAATGCATGACCTGTGGCGTACGTTGTTGGGTTGCTGTCTAAAACACTGCCACAAATTGAAATGACCATGGGCAAGGTTTTTAGATGGAGCTTGTTCTCTGGGGGAGTAACATACAGGGACTACCAACCACAATACTGTAAAAAACAAACAAAAAAACCAACATAGCAAAATGTTTCTATTTAAGTTCACAGAACTCAGCAGTATCACCATAATTTGAGTAATAAAACCAAAGTCCTGCATAGAGAGGCTGAGTGAATGTGGTCTGGACTCTGTGGAGGAGAGTCATGGTTTCAGAGACGCTGTAGAAGGACAGAATACCTGCACTGTGATCCAGATACACTCCAACTCTGAAGGACCACGGACCAGGGACAGGAGTTTGGACATCGTTGTACCAAAATTTACAAATGCCATTACCACATCTTAATGCCCAAGACTTGTCATTTCGTCCAAATCCACACCTAGACAAGTTCCCTGTTCTGCTGATATTCTTGTATGCAACTGCGACAAGAACTCCTCTCCCTCTCCTCTCCACCTCCCAGTAACAACGTCCAGTCAGACTCTCTCTACTCAGGACCTGATCACATTCAAATCTGTCTGGATGACTAGAATAAGACTGCTCTTGACTCACAGATGTTGCTTTTCTGGTCCCCTCAGACAATAACACATGTGTGTGTGCTGTGTTAGGATCCATTGTGATTTCACATGCGTATTTTAAGAATTCAGCTCTGGTCTTGGGCTCTGGTTGTGGCAGTAAAACATCCACTTCAGTCAGTGAGACGTTTGTCCATTTGTCTCTCAGAACGTCCTGTAGTTTATCTCTGAGCTCTGAAACAGCTGCTGTCACATCCTCAAAGTACCTCAGAGGACGGATATTGATGCTGGATGTAGATTCACTGAGTGCTGACAGTGAGGGGTAGTTGTGTAGAAACTGGGTGTGGTCCTCTGTGTGTGACAGCTTCTTCATCTCAGCGTTTTTCCTCTTCAGCTCAGTGATCTCCTGCTCCATCTTCTCCTGAAGCTCTTTGACTCGACTCACTTCAGTTTCCTGCTGGGATCTGACCAGCTGCTTCACATCGGAGCTTCTTTTCTGGAAAAGACGGATCAGCTGAGTGAAGATCTTCTCACTGTCCTCCACCGCTTCATCAGCAGAAAGATTGATAGCCTCCACCTCCTGTTGAAGCACCTTCACATCTTTCTCTCTGTCCTGGATTCTCTGCTGGATGTTTTGTCGACTCACCTCGAGCTCTCTCTGCCTCTCAGTCCTTTCTGCTGCAGCTGAGACTGTGTCGTGGCCTTTATGTTCATCCATAGAGCAGAGATGACAAATAGACTGGTGATCAGTACGGCAGAACATCTTCATCACCTCATCATGAAGAGAGCATGTGTTCTGTTGGAGCTTCTTGCAGGGGTCCACCAGCTTGTGTTTGACAAAGGCAGGTGATTCAAAGTGAGGTTGTAGGTGCTTCTCACAGTAAGAAACCAAACAGACCAGACAGGACTTGAAGGCTTTCAGTTTTCTCCCAGTGCAGACATCACAGGACACATCTTCAGGTCCAGCATAGCAGTGATCAGCAGGAGCAGCCTGGACTCCAGCTTTCTTCAGTTTCTCCACTAAATCTGCTAACATGGTGCTTTTCACCAGGACAGGTCTCGGTATAAAGAACAACCTACACTGAGGGCAGCTGTGGATTCTCCTTTCATCCTCTTTATCCCAGTGGGTTTTAATACAGTTCATGCAGTAGCTGTGTCCACAGGGAATAGTCACTGGATCCTTCAGTAGATCCAAACAGATTGAACAAGAAATTGTTTCCTGGTCCAGCTGAACTCCTGTCTGCGCCATTTTACCTCTCAGTGGCAATGACTGTCAGAGTTTCACTTCTTTAGAAATTAAACTAGTTTGAGCTCTGTCTGAACGACATGTGTTTCTTCAGTGAATGGGGCTTGTCAGTTCATGCACTACACCACATGTTGGTTACACCCATCCTTCAAACTGTAGATCTAAAGGGGAGGGAACAAGGAAATACATGGACAGAGCGCAGCTCCATGTGTTTGAGAGCAGGAAGAATAGGGAGGGGTTATCAGGTTGTGATTCATTCAAGGAAGAGGAGCAGTTTGAGAGCGGTACTGTTTAACACTTGTTTACAATGGAGCTCCTTATAAAATGTGCATTTTAATCATGAGGGGTTTAATGTTAAATGAATTAAACAAATAAATCCAGTAAGTTATTTGTTCAACTCTGAATCCCAGCAGAGAGGAATGCTCCATATCATTGGGCACTCAGTTAAGTGACTGGAATGACTGGATGAATCAAGAAAATGTACAATTTCCTACGTATCCTTTAAGTTGTGTAAAGTAATGTTTTTATGGTATACTGATTATCACTACAATAATTCATACAAAATGCACTTTATAGAAACTCAACTGCAGTAACTGGAAGCCAGAACACACTACTAAAAATGCACTCCTTAAATATCCTTAAAATAAGTGCTGACAAACAAACTACATGAAATCAATCTGTCTGTTTTTACCATTTGTCAACAAATTAAAGAAAAAGTGTTTTCAGTTTATTTCTATAAAAAGATGAATTCTTCACGACTTACAACAGTTTGACACCTTTATCCATGATTTACTGGACCTGGCATTTTTATTATAAATGTTATCATATAGGCCCAAAAACATGTTCTTCACTAAAACTGCAAACAGTGAACTGAGGTGCTTTAACCTTCACTTTATCCCTGGTTAGCAGATTAAAGGCGCCCTCTGGTGTTGGGCATCAGTTTTCACATTTCAGTTGCACTGCACTTCACACGTCAGTAAAGAGAATTTAATTATATGTAATATCACACTGTGTCAGTTTGTTCACAGGAGTCGCACCCTGTAACGATGCCACATTCATGTCCCATGAGAAAGATGGTATAGAAGAGTTGCCACTTCCAAAAAGTATTCACATCAGCTCTCAGGCTGTAATTAGGAATGTGAGATCTGAGGCTATAGGTTAAAATTTCTCTGACTTCTTGAATTCTTATGAAACAATGTGGAAATACTTGTAACCAGATGTGAAGAATTGTATATTCATGTCATGGTTTTATGACTGGACCTGATATAGGCTGGACATTTTCCAATTGTTGTTGATGTTAAGATATTTCCCTCCTGTCTTGGTAGCTCACCTGGTAGAGCTGGCTGCCCATGCACCCTGTGGGCCTCTGCTGCATGCCATCCCCTGATTATCTTCAGTTGTCCTACGCTATCGATAAAAAGGTCAAAATCCCCCCCAAACATTTAAAAAAAGGTGTGTGTATATATTTCACTTCAGTCACTGGTTGAGTAACAAATGAGAAAACTTCTCAGGAAAAACATAAATCTCTGCCAACCATAATTTGTGTCTTGGTGACTTAAAAATGACACTGAACATGTTGCCTTCAGAAGTCCTACAGATATTTATTCTGATTGAACTGAATGCAGCATTTCATATGGATATTATCATAGTTAGGAAATAATTAAATTTGGAATGAAAACAAGAAAATACTTTATTCATTATGGATACATTCAGTTTGTTCACACATTTAGAGCTGCAACAATGAGTCCATTAATTGATTAGTTGTTGCATAAATTAATCACCAACAATTTTGAAGATAAATCCTTTTAAGTCATTTAAGAAAAACAAAGTCACCGTTCCTCTGATTTCAGCTTCCTAACATGAATATTTTCTGCTTTCTTTAGTCCTCTACAGTAAATTGAATGTGTTTGGGTAGTGGAAAAAACAAGACATTTGAGGACTTCACCTTATAAACCAAACAGCTAATTGATTAATTGAGAAAAGTATTGACAGATGAATTGATAATGAAAATAATTGTTTATTGCAACCCTATATACATCCCATCAATAGACTGTTCAATTATCTTTGTTCAGTGATTCATGTACTGATTCACTTAATCCACACAATCCAATTGTTTGAGCAGAATCTCAGCTATGTAAAAGAAAATAATGAATGTTCTCCATGTTCATTATGATCATGATAATTAGTCAGTGACAAATGTCAGTCCAGGTAAATAAAATCATCAAAATGAGCAGTGATAGCCTCCATGGCTAAACAGAGATCCACCTGAAGAAACATTTACAGAACAAATGAGAAGATGTCACAGTACCACCCATAATGTTTGTCAAGTTCTGTGTGTTTTGTGATTGACCACAGCACTGCCCAAACTTGAAAAACTGCTTGATCTCTGATGGACGCAAAGGACAACTCAAATCTGTTCACTTTTTGGTTTTTTATTTTCTTGAAGATGGTTTGATAAATTGGGATGGAGCAGAATAGGTTGATAACCTTTAAGATACAAACAAAATACATTAATTAGTTACAAATAAATCACTTTCTCAAAGTAATAATAAATTAATGCTACTGAATCCTCAAAACCAAACCAAACAAAGTAATTTAGATTAACCTAGGATCTCTACTAGTTAATAATTAAAGTACAAATCCCACAATTAAACTTATATAATAATTAAACAATATACATGCTTTGTGTAACATTACTTCCTCCAAGATATGTTAACATAATAAAGTTTTCAACTATTTAACTTAAATTGCACATTTCACCAAGCAAAAGTCATATAGTCATAAGCATGACCTCAACACATCAACCAAAATCTGTCCTACCAGTTGCGTCTCTAGATGATCAGGAGCTGTGGTCATATTACCTCTTCAGGAATGGGTGAGAGGGCCAACTGAGCTTTTACCAAACATTTCAAATGCCATGCACTCCCTCTGGGTGCACAGGTGAATATGGTCCCAAGAGCACTTCCTGAGAAGTTAGTTCCACCAACTCTGTTGCATGGTTGCCCCCTGCAGGTTGGGAGTGCCCCTGGGTGAATCTAGGCTGGAGTGCTCAGTACAACTTTTAACCCTGAGTTGACACAACAATGTTTGACGGACAGGTGATCTCTGTGCAGTTGTGAAACATGAAAACAAAATGTGTTTAAGAAAAATAATTAAAATATAAAGTTCAACTCACTGTCACTTAAATGACTTCTGATTATTTGAGCTTACAGAACTCAGCAGTGTCTCCATCCTGATAGTGAAGACAAAGTCCAGCATAGAGAGGCTGAGTGAATGTGGTCTGGACTCTGTGGAGGAGAGTCATGGTTTCAGAGATGCTGTAGAAGGACAGAATACCTGCACTGTGATGCAGATACACTCCAACTCTGGAGGACCGAGGACCTGATATGGAGATTTGGACACCACTGTTCCAAATAACACAATTCTTTTTGTCATAATATAATGCCCACGATTTGTCCCTGACTCCAAATAAACAGTCATCCAAGTTCCCTGCTACATTGATATTCTTGTATGCGACTGCTACATACACTGCTGCCCCTCTCCATTCCACCTCCCAGTAACAATGTCCAGTCAGACTCTCTCTACTCAGGACCTGGCAAAATGTAGTAAATCTGTGTGGGTGACTAGAATAACACTGTGGTTGACTCATTACTGTTGCTTTTCTCTTTCCCTTAGACAAAAACAGTTGTGTGTTCGCTGTGTTTGGATCCAGTGTGATTTCACGTGAATATCTTAAGAAATCAGCTCTGGTCTTGGGCTCTGGTTGTGACTGTAAAACATCCACTTCAGTCACTGTCAGTGAGACGTTTGTCCATTTCTCTCTCAGAACGTCCTGTAGTTTATCTCTGAGCTCTGAAACAGCCGCTGTCACATCCTCAAAGTACCTCAGAGGACGGATATTGATGCTGGATGTAGATTCACTGAGTGCTGACAGTGAGGGGTAGTTGTGTAGAAACTGGTTGTGGTCCTCTGTGTGTGACAGCTTCTTCATCTCAGCGTCTTTCCTCTTCAGCTCAGTGATCTCCTGCTCCAGCTTCTCCTGAAGCTCTCTGACTCGACTCACTTCAGTTTCCTGCTGGGATCTGACCTGCTGCTTCACATCAGAGCTTCTTTTCTGGATGAGACTGATCAGCTGAGTGAAGATCTTCTCACTGTCCTCCACTGCTTTATCAGCAGAGCGATTGATAGCCTCCACCTCCTGTTGAAGCTCCTTCACATCTTTCTCTCTGTCCTGGATTCTCTGCTGGATGTTTTGTCGACTCACCTCGAGCTCTCTCTGCCTCTCACTCCTTTCTGCTGCAGCTGAGACTGTGTCGTGGCCTTTATGTTCATCCACAGAGCAGAGATAACAGATACACTGCTGATCAGTACGGCAGAACATCTTCATCACCTCATCATGACGAGAGCAGATGTTCTCCTGGAGCTTCTTGGAGGGGTCCACCAGCTTGTGTTTCTTTAATGGAGCTGCATCATAATGAGGCTGGAGGTGTTTCTCACAGAATGAGATCAGACAGACCAGACAGGACTTGAAGGCTTTCAGTTTTCTCCCAGTGCAGACATCACAGGACACATCTTCAGGTCCAGCACAGCAGAGATCAGCAGGAGCAGCTTGGAGTCCAGTCTTCTTCAGTTCCTCCACTAAAACTGCTAACATGGTGTTTTTCACCAGGACAGGCCTCAGTGTGAAGGCCTGCCTACACTCAGGGCAGCTGTGGATTTCCTTCTCCTTGTCTTCATCCCAGAAGCTTTTAATACAGTTCATGCAGTAGCTGTGTCCACAGGGAATAGTCACTGGATCCTTCAGTAGATCCAGACAGATCGAACAAGAAATAATTTCCCTCTCCAGCTTAACTCCTTTCTGCGCCATTTCACCTCTCAGTGACAACGACTGAGTCTCACTTCCACAGAAATGAAACTAGTTTGAGCTCCTGAATGAATAGGGTGTCTTATCTCTTGCACTACACCACATGTTGGTTACACCCATCCTCAAACTGCTGATCTAATGGGGAGGGAACAAGGAAGTACATGGACAGGGTGGAGTTCCCTCTGTTTGAGAGCAGGAAGAAGAGGGAGGGGTTATCAGGTTGTGATTCATTCCAGGAAGAGGAGCAGTTTGAGAGCGATACTGTTTAACACTTATTTATAATGGAGCTCATTCTAAAATACTGTTCATTTCAGCTTTTAGGAAGTAAAGCTGCTCTTATGATCAGAGGGTTTGGAAATGTCTCCCCAATTTTCAGCATTACTGAGTTGTCCTGTAATTAACTTAATAATTTTTGATTGATTACCATGATTCAAATACAACACATAAATAATAGTTATATGACTCACTGCTGTAAAGTTAATGAAACTCTGCTTAAATTGAGAATGTATATTTCAATCCAATCCAATCCAACTTTATTTGTTAAGCACTTTAAATCAACCAAAGTTGACGTCATAAATAAAAGACATAACAGCACACATGAGGCGCAAAATAACATATAATACAATTAAACAATATTTAATCACAAGGGGTTTAATGTTCAATGAATTCAAACAAATAAATCCAGTTAGTTATTTGTTCAACAAAATCCCAGCAGACAGGAATGCTCCATATCATTGGGCTCTCAGTTAAGTGACTGGAATGACTGGATGAATCAGGAAAATAGTTCATTCATATCCTTTAAGTTTTGTCACAGTGACCCAAGCCCACCAAAAATGTAGCCGTGATGTTCTCATCAAGTTTCAGTTCATGTCTAGAAAAAGATGAATTCTTCATGACTTTTCACAACTGTATGCGTGATCTACTAGAACTGACATTTTTATTACAAGTGTTATCATAAAATACGATATCAAAAACATGCTCTTCACTAAAACTGCAAAGGGTGAACTGAGGTGCTTTAACCTCCACTATATCCCTGGTTAGCAGGATGAAGGCACCCTTCATCCTGGTGTTGGGCATCAGTTTTCCCTTTGCAGTTGTTAACCTGCTGCTAACATAAAAACAACAATGTTAGTAGAGAGAGATTTAAACATATGAAATGTCACACTATGTCAGTCCATCAGTCAACATTGATGCGACATTCAGGTCCCATTGGAAACATGGTAGAGAAGACCTTCCACTTTACAAATACTATTCATATAGGTTTTAAGGTTGAAGCCAAAATAGTATTGAGGATAGGAATGCACATTTAATGGAAATATTATCAAAAACACAATATGCAAATCACAGAACTTGCAATTTTTGATGCGTGTAAAAGGGACAAACCCGCTTTATAATGAAGTTCTGAAGAGATTCCCTGGCCTATAAATCCTTAAGAAAACATGTTTGTTTGGTACAGAGCACCCAAAAAAGTCCCACTATCATGATTTGAATTGCTTTTTCACTGAAAATGAACCTTTTGATTCAAAAGCAATCATATACACGCTAAGTGTATAAGTCATTTCTCAATCACAATATCATGATTGCTATATGTGTCATCGTGCAGTACTAATCTGGGGATTTGTTTGAGCAGAATATCAGCTGTGTAAAATAAAATAATGATCTCCTCATTGATTATGATTGTGATCATTATAGTATCTCATGGTAGCTCATGTACATTTGGTTTGTCAAACACATAAATGTTAATGTGATAGCCTCCATGGCTCAACAGTCCCAGAAAGGAGCACCACCCACGAAAACGCATTCACTTACAGAGGAAGAAATAAGTAGATGTGAAAGTATATTTGTTCTTGAAAATATTTTTATTGTAGTATAATGACAAAAAACCCATACAGAGAAACAATGGGAATAGTTTACATTTTCACGCAGAGAAAAGTCTGTTCAGGGAAACAAAAAAACAACATGAGCAGTGAGTCAGACCACTGCGTGGAAAGCCAGTTTTTGGCCTTGTTAACATGTCAGTGTCATGTTGCCGATATCAGAGGGAAAACCATTTACTCCATTAAAAGAAGCTTTTGTTGTTATCCGTAAATAAAGTAAATAAAAAACTAAGTTAGCCCCCTGGCATAATAACTAATTAGAACTAAAGTAAAACTAAACATTTTTAACAATCACATCTCAACTGACCTGAGCAAAATCAATGCTGAAGGCAGTAATTTTAATGAACAGAGTTTTGTGGCTTTGATCAACGTTAGGAAAGAACCTTTTGAAGGACTTCTTTCTAATTAAGTTCACAGAACTCACCAGTATTTGCAACAGTTTGGACATTGTTGTACCAAAACCAAAATGAATAACGGCTGTTGTCGTATCTTAAAGCCCATGAATTGTTACAGCTTCCAAATCCACACTCCGACCCTGATCTGCTGATGTTTTTGTATGCGACTGCTACATTACTCCATGCCTCTCCCAACTCCACCTCCCAGTAACAACCTCCAGTCAGACTCTCTCTACTCAGGACCTGAGGCCAAAAAATAAATCTGTCTGGGTGACGAGAATATGGCTGATGTGGTCTCACTGCTGTTACCTTTCTGTTCCCCTCAGATAATAACAATAACCTGTGTACTGTGTTTTCATCAACTGTGGTTTGACATGAATAGTTTAGGAATTCAGCTCTGGTTTCGGGCTGAAACTGAGATGTTTTCCCATTTCACATTTAAACTGTCCTGTAGGTTATCTCTGACTTGTGACACAGTCGCTTTCACATTCTCAAAGTACTTCTGAGGACGGATTCTGATGCCGGATGAGTCTGTAGATTCAATGGGTTCGGGTAGTGCAGGGCAGTTGTGCAGAAAATGGTGGTCCTCTGTGTGTGAGAGATTCTTCAGCTCAGTGTCTTTCCTCTTCAGCTCAGTGATCTCTCGCTGCAGCTTCTGCTGAAGTTGTTTGATTCTATTCACTTCAGTATCCTGCTGGGATCTGACCTGCTGCTTCACATCGGAGCTTCTTTTCTCCATGAGACAGATCGCCTGGCTGAAGATCCCCTCACTGTCCTCCACCACTGTATCAGCAGAGCGATTGATAGCCTCCACCTCCCGTTGCAGCACTGTGACGTCATTATATCTGTCCTGGATTCTCTGCTGGATGTTTTGTCGACTCACCTCGAGCTCTCTCTGCCTCTCAGTCCTTTCTGCTGCAGCTGAGACTGTGTCGTGGCCTTTATGTTCATCCATAGAGCAGAGATGACAAATAGACTGGTGATCAGTACGGCAGAACATCTTCATCACCTCATCATGAAGAGAGCAGATGTTCTGTTGGAGCTTCTTGCAGGGGTCCACCAGCTTGTGTTTTTCAAAAGCAGGGGATTCAAAGTGAGGCTGAAGGTGTTTCTCACAATAAGAGATACAACAGACCAGACAGGACTTGAGGGCTTTTAGTTTTCTCCCAGCGCAGACATCACAGGATACATCTTCAGGTCCAGCATAGCAGAGATCAGCAGGAGCAGCTTGGAGTCCAGTCTTCTTCAGTTCCTCCACTAAAACTGCTAACATGATGTTTTTCATCAGGACAGGTCTCGGTGTGAAGGTCTGCCTACACTGAGGGCAGCTGTGAACCGTATTCCCGTCTTGTTCATCCCAGCAGGTTTTAATACAGTTCATGCAGTAATTGTGTCCACAGGGAATAGTCACTGGTTCCTTCAGTAAATCCAGACAGATCGAACAAGAAATAATTTCCCTCTCCAGCTGAACTCCTTTCTGTGCCATTTCACCTCTCTGTGGCACGTTCTTAATACTCCAACTAGTTAGCGTCCTGAAGTAAACAGAAATGGTTTCTGCAGTTAATGAGATCGGTCAGTTCTTCATCACATGATGGTTGAACACATCTTCAAACTGCAGATCTAAAGGAGAGGGAAAGGGGAAACATAATTATTGACAAAAGTTCATTATTTACAACAAACACTTTACCAAGACCAAGAGCTTCAGAGCTAGACTAACAGGATAAAAGAATAAATAATACAACTTACACTGTATATTTACAACTAAACTGGGCCAACCGTGGCATGTAGAAAGTAGTTCTAAACTATAAACAGCTACAGCAGTAACATGCAACATACACATATAAGTACATTCAGTACCTGGATACTTTTATTCAAGGTTTTGATTGCAGACATTTAGTCTCGACACTATCTGACTGTAATTCACTCAGAATGTTACAACAACACAGTTTAAGATCCACAACTCACCTTATAATCCAGAGAAATAACCCTGAGAGTGATGAGGTGATGCTTCGTCCCTGAGTAACCTCCTCTTCTGTTGAAGTGTGCAGCAGAGTAACTTCAGTGTGAGAAGAAGAGAGCGGATTTAAAGGATTCCCTCCAGGTTGGTGGGTGGAGACTCGAGCTCAGCCTATCAGAGTCAGACCACTGTGTGGATCACAGACTAACACTATTAGATCTATTAGAAACTGAACACTAGAACCAGATAAACAGTGGAAAAACAACTAAATAACATTTCAGAAGTCTCTTTCTTACATGTGATATATTTTAACACTTTTAAACTATTAAATGTTTTTAGTCCGTCCTCATGAATGTTACTTATAAAATCTTTATAAACTCCCCACAGATTCTTACATCATTACAGACCACACAGTCAAATACAGGCTTTATCTGGGTTATCGAGCTCTGATTCATTCCAGGAAGAGGAGTCTGAGGAAGATACTGTGTGTTTAACACTTGTTTACAGTAGAGCTCGATAAATTCCGTTTTTAGGAGGTAAACTCTTCTTCAGATCAGCTTTCACTGAGTTGTCCTGTTGGTTATAATAATTCAATAATATACATTTTACTTAAACAATCAGTGCATACACAAATGCATCATTGCAGAATATGTAAAATCCAAATAATGTAAAATGTGTTTTTTTAATGTGAACAAAATGTGTGTTTTAATGTTAGATGCCATTTTAAACAAATAAATCCAGTATGTTACTTTTTAAACCATCCCCCATAACTTACTGTAGACTGTACTGGGAGGTTTTTCATGGAGAAATTAAAGATTAAACATGATGCCAGCTGTAGAAAAACAGCAAACTGTTGGAGCTGAATATACACATTACATGCACGGGGAGGGGAGGCGGTCTGGGGGAACCGGGTCTGGTCGGTTAAAGGTGTGAATATGCATCCATACAAAAGGTGCAGCTATTGCCAGTCACACTGAGCCGTTAGCATGCTAATGCCTGAGTGCTTTATGGGGTTAAAGACAATGGAGGTCTGGATGGGGGCAGAACGGTAACAACAACCATGATTTGATGTGTCAATAGGATAGAGTTAGCATTATGTGGCTGTGCTGTTCAACACCAACTGAACCTGTTCCAGTGAAAACAATGGAATTACCACAGAGATCATGTTCTTTGGTACTCACAGTGGAAACTATCAGCTCAATGTAACAGCAGACACACCTAGTATAGTGCAATAATACAGTTTTACTCCTTCAGACACATCTTTATAATTAAAATCCAAACTGATGTAAAGTCAAACACAAAGATAACGACATGAAGAAGGTGTGTATAATGTTACTAAATTACTTTTAGCACATTCTGGCAGAAGAGAACAGTGAGGCGTTACAGAGAGAGAGACAGGCAGGGACTACAGAGGGTGAGACAGATCAGAGAGTGAAATGTCAAAGGAAACATGAGGATATGAGAGGGAGGAAGCAGGTTATGGTTAGCAGAAAGCCAAAGAAAGGGAAGCTGAGAGAGAGACCACAGGAGACACAGAAGGAGAAGACAAGACAAGACCACAACACCACTGAGGGGGATTTCAGCCCCCAGTAGGAAGTTCAATTAGTAGGAAATTAAATTAATAGGAAGTTAAATTAGTGTTAAATTAATAGGAAATTAAATGAATAGGAAGTTAAATTAGTAGGAAGTTCAACCACTTTAGGACTAGGCTGCACATTTTCCATTAGTTTGTTGTTAATATTTAACTTGTAAAAACTGAGTCACTCACTGGTTGTGTAACAACGGAGGAAACTTAAAATGACACTGAACATGTGAGGTGACATTGCTAAACACAAATACACAACCAACAGGACACCTTCACGAAAATCAACATAACAGTAAATAAAATGAGTCTGAGGAGGAGATGGCGAGGCTGCAGAGCGGGGGTTAAACGGAGGATGAAAAAGAGGAGCTTTAAACCCTACAATTGAGCAGATACCGGACTCCAACGTCACCAAGCCCGGCTTCTAGTGATGGGTCGGTCGGGAACGATCCGGCTCTAAGAGCTGGCTCTTTGAAGTGAACGACGGGAGCCGGCTCCTGATTGGGAGCCAGATCCAGATTTTTTCCCAGATTTTCCCGTTTTTTCTGTTAAAGCCGCGTGGTCAAGATGTGTGGCGGCATCTGTGTATCTACACTGAGCAGGAGGGGGAGGGAGGGGTTACAGACACACACGGCACAGTGAGCACGTGAACAGGTGGGAGGCAGACGTGAGAGCGAGAGACCTTGGCGCTACATAGACAGAGACTACACACTGGAAAGGGCGAGGAAAATGAGTGACAGGAAACGTAAAGTTTGGACACATTTTAATGTGATAGTTCAAAGGCAGAGTGTAGACTGTGCAAAGTTAAACATTTCATATCAAGCAGCTTTTTGTCTAATAAAGATGGGTCTTTGTTTTTGTGTTTTATAATTTATTTTGTAGCACTGTTCCATGTTGAGTGTATTAATAAATCCATATGAATACTAAACATTTGATATAATGCATGTATTTACTTTAGATATTCATTTTAAACATCATTTGGTAATAAATTAATTTAAGCAAAAAGAAATATGATGAGCCACTTGGGAGCCGAAAGAGCCGGCTCTTTTTAGTGAGCCGAGCCGAAGGAGCCGGTTCTCTAAAAAGAGGCAGAATTATAATAATAATAATACATTAAATTATTAGAGGTCTCTGGGCCTCGAGGACACCTACAACACCAAAAAAAAAAAAAATAAATAAATTCCCATCACTACCGGCTTCCAGACGGTTCAAGCCGACAGGGGACAGCACCGCGACCGGCATGAAGAAAGGAGGGGGACTGTCCGTCCTCATAAACAACAGGCGGTGTAATGCCGGGCAGGTCTGTGGGAAAGAGCGTCTGCAGCCCGGACATCGAGCTCGTCGCCGTCGGACTTCGTCCATGTTATCTGCCACGGGAACTTTCCAGTGTTATCGCCATCACTGTCTATATTCCTCACAGTGGTCTTAATCATCACCATCACTGTTTACATTTATGATGTCTTATTTATTCTCCTGTACAGCACTTTGGTCAACTTTGGTTGTTTAAAGTGCTTAACAAATAAAGTTGGATTGGATTGGATTATGATCATGATAACCTCCATGATTTGTACGGCAGTTTGAAAAACAACAACCACAATGCAAAGTAGAGAAAACATGTAAATATAATTAAAGATTTATTTACAAATGTATAAAGTGGTGAGAACAAAATGTTTACAAGGAATCTATATGTATATAATCTATAAAAATCTTACGAAGAAAAATTAAAGTTCAGCGAGAATCATAAGCCATAGAATCACTTATTAAGGCAACAGTTATTTAATTTAATTAATTTAAATGATGCAATTCTAGACTGTCTGTAAAAGGTGAGTTTCCAGAGGTCAGGGCTCTGAACAGATGTGCATCATGAGATGTCGTCAAACTATATTTTCAATAAAGCAACACAGACATGGTGTCTCTCTCTCTCTCTCTCTCTCTCTCTCTCTATATATATATATATATATATACATATTATGAGACAAAATCAAACAATCAATGGCCAAGTTTACGTGTTTATTTTTAAATTGTTTCAATGTCTCAATGTAGTGTTGTTTTTCAAATTCCTTTAGTCTTTTGCTGTGATGTCATCGGATCGTTGTGATGTCATTCAAAGATCAAAGCCAATAGAATGTTGCTTTGATACAAAGGTGAACGTTCTGTCTGAAACTATGGATATAGGATCCCAATTAACCTGGTTCAGTTCACATTCTTCAGGAAACTTTCACAAGGACACAAACACAGATTCTTCAGGACTTCGGATCCAAGAATATTAACAGACAAGATGGATCAAGCCACAATAGACAGTCTTCGCGGACTTATCCAAGAGAGCCTGGAGAAGCTGAAAACCATACAGTTGTCGAAGCTGCAAGGCAGGTCTCTAGACATCACATCAGAGGATGTAATTACTGAATTGTGTGTGGATATTGTAAATATTTTATGCATACAAATTCATGAGGCATTTCAACGGAGCAAAGTTGAGGGGAGACACACTTCCAAATCTTCAAAAAGCTCTTCTGGGTCTGCCAGATCACAGGACAGCATATCTGAAGAAGACGTTCGTAGTTTATCTGGGTGACGCAAGTTTTCCTAGCCTTTAAGGAGGCAACCGGGGTCGGCAACATCAGCCGAAGCGTGGAGAAGGTAACCAGCGCTGTGGTTACTGAGGTCACCGAGAGAGTAAATGAGCTCTCCAATGCCTCTGGAAGTATTGGAGGCAGCAATAAATGGAAAAGTCCTCCCGTCTCATGCTCATTCACGCTCAGACTGAAGACCATGGTCCGACATGTAGCGAGAATGTTGAAAAACTGCACTGGTGAGGAGGGCACCACGCCAATTGGAACCGGGGAGTCATGGCAGACCCCCGTAGTTCCCTTTGTGGATGAGACGGACATGCTGCCGATAACGAGCTTCATCATCGAAACAACAGAAGCTGTGAAGAATATCCTGCAGGAACAGGCAAAAAGCATTACCCCGATTAGTTATAACGTTAAGATTTCCGATGAAGAGTGCCAAGTGTTTGAGTCCGGCTCCTCCGAGGACACAAACGAGATGGCTATTGCGATAGTCAAAGAAATAATTGAAGACCTTCAAATCGAATCAGATGGTTCCCTGCCGAAATCAGTGGCCGAATCTGTAAAGATATCCTGTTGGAAATCACTGGGAGATAAACTTAAGGGCTTTTTTGCGGTAAGATTTGCTATGGGGTCACTACTAGGTTTTGTGACAAAACTGAGGCGTAAATACAATTGCGTCTCAGAACAAAAGAGGTCTCTGAGCCAGCTAATGGAGGAGGCTGATCTGGTGGTGAAGACCATCATCTCATTAAATGAAGAGGACATAAATAAGGGCACTGACGACGAGTGCCCCTACGAGAGAATCGCAGAGGTAATATCTAGTGGACAACACAACATGGCCGTCATTGAGCTTGGTGATATTGTCTCACAGCATCTGAAGCAGGACCCCTCTCCGGACTTCAGGTTTGAAATACAAGGAGAAGTTGACACCTTTATGAGGCAGATATGCAACTGGGT